CATACACCACAGAGGCTGTGCAGGTTACTGTACACCGGGAGCTACACGGGTTGAGGTACAGTGAGGTGGGGTAGAGGTGGCGCGCGGGCGGATGAGGTAGCGAGCCACTGGGACCACATGGCCTACAATCGCCTGTCTCCCAGGATACTGGAGAAGACGGGGGTGCATTTGGGTGCACACCGGTGAGAATTGCACTAGTGTGCTTTGCTGAAGGCACACTGATAACACGCTGATGGGACGAAGATGGACACCACGTGATAAGCACACGAGGTGGGCAGCACAATGGACAAAATAAACAGAGTCCACACAGTCCTAAATTTTTGCATTAAATCACTCAGAATTTTAACTCAAACACTTGGAACCGTATTCTTAGATTCCCTGTACACAGTTTACTTAGCGATATGGTGACGGATCGCCTTTACTTTCGCCGACGATCACCGATACAACTGGCTACAGTCCTGTTGCTTCTGCAGCGATCACGTGTGGCGCGGAGTGTACTTCCTTGTATCTTTCTAGTAATATATATATTACTCGAAATCCAGTAACCTGCGCCCAGCGGTTACCGGATTCTGTGACAATAATGCTTAGACAGAGTAGATATACTTGAGCTTGCTGAACTATGCTGTAGACAGGAGAAATACCCGGTTTTTGGGCGAAACAGGATATCACGTCTACACAGCACAGCAACGCTCCTCGGAATGAGGTGCAGTGGGCGGGAATGGAACCGGCGGTGTTCCCCTAGTCTTTTGAGACTGCCAATCAGGTGCCAGCATCCTAGAGTCCCATGGTGCCGCGACCATTGAGAATCCCCTGCCGGTGACGCTTACACGAGGGCTAGGGGAAAACCGTTGAGACACTTAGCTCACAGTGTCTGGCTTCCATCCCTGTATCTGGGTAGCCAGAACTAAAATTTATGCTAATCCTGTAACTATTTATCCAGAAATGCTACAACGAGTATCGCGAGTTTTCTGGGCAGCTGAGGGTGTCTGCTTTCCAAAGATACCCAATTACGACCTTCTAGCTGCTATAACAAGAAAGTTAATATTTTGTGCACTCCTGTGCACTCTCTGAAATTTCCTAAGTCAAAATGGCAATTTGCTTCTTCTATCAACCATGTGTAAGGTAGCCAGAGGGTCAACCTCTGACATAGTGTACCTCTGTTCAGTTACTATATATCTCCTAAGGTATGGTAATTATGCTTACAAACTGCATATGATCTATCACTCCAAAGTCTGTAAATCATAAGAAAGACTACAACCTAATGCATGATGTAAATCAAAACATTAGTCTAGTTTCTTCATATATTATTACATAGACATATAACATTGTTTGTATGTTATTCCAAATTAGGTACTAATTTGAGGTTCTTGGTGAGTACCTCCTTGTTCTATTATCATCCATACCATCCTGGTGAGTACCTTCTTATTCTATTACCTTCCATACCATCCTGGCGAGTACCCCCTCCCACCTTTTTCCCCCTGTCCCCCCTCCCCCTTCATCCCATACCCTCCCTATCCCTCCTCCCCCCCTCACTGCGTATCCTCCATGTCCCCCCTACCTCCTTAACCCACACCCTACCTGTCCCCCCTTCCCTTAAACCCCCCCCCCCCCCCCCCAAAATCGTCTGAGACCCTGCAAACCACCTCACAGATCCTCTCACCCACGGAACAGCTTCCCACACCAGCAGAATGCCTTCCAAGAAAGGGACATGAAAATGAACAGAAGAAAGTGAGCTTCAAGGCGATGTACACTAACATAGATGGGATTTCAAATAAAACAAGTGAACTTGGAGAATGGGCACTAGAAGAAAACCCAGACATAATAGCACTCACAGAAACAAAGTTAACGAAAATCATAACAAACGCAGTGTTTCCACAGGGCTACTATGTAGTGAGGAAAGAGAGAGAAGGGAGAGGAGGAGGTGGTGTAGCTCTGCTACTAAGAGAAGGTTGGAGTTTCGAAGAGATGGTAATTCAGAACTGTGAAGGTTTCAGTGACTACATTTCAGGCACCATAGCAACTGGAGGACAGAAAATTATAATAGTAGTCATATATAACCCCCCACCAAATGACAGAAGACCCAGATAGGAATATGATAGAAACAACTTGGCCACCATCAATATAATAGAGAGAGCAGCTTCTGTGGCTAGCAGGAACGGATCCAGACTTCTAATCATGGAAGACTTCAACCATGGGAAGATAGATTGGTGGAACAGAGGCCCAGACACATGGAGAGCTAAGCTGCTGGATGTGGCAACAAGAAACTTTCTAAGTCAACACGTCAAGGGACCGACAAGAATGAGAGGAGGGGATGAACCAGCCTTGCTTGATCTGATATTTACCCTAAATGAGTCGGATATAAGGGAAGTTAAGTTGGAAGCCCCCTTGGGAATGAGTGATCATAGTGTATTGAGCTTTGAGTACCTGGTTGAGCTGGGAATTATCACCCCAAAAAAAGAACTGGGAACCAAAGGGCTGGCGTACCGAAAGGGAAACTATGAGGATATGAATAAATTCCTATGGGATATACATTGGGACAAAGAACTCGGAACCAAGTCAGTACAAGACATGATGGACTATGTCACCCAAAAATGTCAGGAGGCTGTAAGTAGGTTTGTCCCAGCCCGACAGGAAAAAACAGAGAAGCAAAGGAAGAATCCGTGGTTTAATAAGGAATGTATGAAAGCAAAGGAGCAGAACAAAAGGGCATGGAGGAACTTCCGTAATAACAGAACACCAGAAAGTGGAGAGAGATACCAGAGAACCAGGAACGAGTATGTCAGTGTGAGAAGAGCAGCTGAGAAAAGGTATGAAAATGATATAGCTAATAAAGCCAAGACCGAACCCAAGCTACTACACATTCACATCAGGAGGAAGACAACAGTGAAGGAACAGGTGATGAATTTTAGGGTGGGCGAGGACAGATACACAGAGAATGACAAAGAGGTGTGTGAAGAACTCAACAAAAGGTTCCAGGAGGTCTTTACAATAGAACAGGGAGATGTCGCAGCGCTAGAAGAGGTGGCAGCAAACCAGGTGACCTTGGATAGGTTCGAAATTACAAGAGATGAGGTCAAGAAGCACCTATTGGAGCTGGATGTGAGAAAAGCTGTTGGGCCGGATGGAATCTCGCCATGGGTATTGAAAGAGTGTGCAGGAGCACTTTGCTTACCACTCTCCATAGTGTATAGTAGGTCACTGGAAACGGGGGACCTACCAGAAATATGGAAGACTGCTAATGTAGTACCAATATACAAAAAGGGTGACAGACAAGAGGCACTGAACTACAGGCCAGTGTCCTTAACTTGTATACCATGCAAGGTGATGGAGAAGATTGTGAGAAAAACCTAGTAACACATCTGGAGAGAAGAGACTTCGTGACAACCCATCAACATGCGTTCAGGGAGGGTAAATCTTGCCTTACAGGATTGATAGAATTCTACGATCAGGTGACAAAGATTAAACAAGAAAGAGAAGGGTGGGCGGACTGCATTTTTTTGGACTCTCGGAAAGCCTTTGACACAGTACCCCATAAAAGGTTGATGCATAAGCTAGAGAAACAGGCAGGAGTAACTGGTAGGGCGCTCCAGTGGATAAGAGAGTACCTAAACAATAGGAAGCAGAGAGTTACAGTGAGGGGTGAGACCTCAGACTGGCGTGAAGTCACCAGTGGAGTCCCACAGGGCTCTGTACTTGGACCTATCCTGTTTCTGATATACGTAAATGATCTCCCAGAGGGTATAGACTCATTCCTCTCAATGTTTGCTGACGACGCCAAAATTATGAGAAGGATTAAGACAGAGGAGGACAGCTTGTGGCTTCAAGAAGACCTGGACAAGCTGCAGGAATGGTCGAACAAATGGCTGTTAGAGTTTAATCCAAGCAAATGTAATGTAATGAAGATAGGGGTAGGAAGCAGGAGACCAGATACAAGGTATCACTTGGGAGATGAAATACTTCAAGAGTCCGAGAGAGAGAAAGACCTGGAGGTTGATATCACGCCAGACCTGTCCCCCTGATGCTCATATCAAGAGGATAACAGCAGCAGCATATGCCAGGTTGGCTAACATAAGAACGGCCTTTAGAAACTTGTGTAAGGAATCTTTCAGAACATTATATACCACATATGTCAGACCAATCCTGGAGTATGCGACACCAGCATGGAGTCCATATCTAGTCAAGCATAAGACTAAAATGGGAAAGGTTCAAAGGTTTGCCACCAGACTAGTACCCGAGCTGAGAGGTATGAGCTACGAGGAGAGACTACGGGAATTAAACCTATCTTCGTTGGAAGACAGAAGAGTTAGGGGGGACATGATCACCACATTCAAGATCCTCAAGGGAATTGACAGGGTTGATAAAGACAGGCTGTTTAACACAAGGGGCACACGCACTAGGGGACACAGGTGGAAACTGAGTGCCCAAATGAGCCACAGAGATATTAGAAAGAACTTATTTAGTGTCAGAGTGGCTAACAGGTGGAATGCATTAGGAAGTGATGTGGTGGAGGCTGACTCCATACACAGTTTCAAGTGTAGATATGATAGAGCCCAATAGGCTCAGGAACCTGTACACCTGTTGATTGACAGTTGAGAGGCGGGACCAAAGAGCCAGAGCTCAACCCCCGCAAGCACAACTAGGTGAGAACTAGGTGAGTACTTGTACCATGACCACTCATAACTGCCTGGCGAATACATCCTTGCCCCATGATCATCCATACCTCCATATTTAAAATTGCTGACCAACATAAATAACAATTAACTAAAACATTTAATTTCCCATGTAAATTCATCACATTATATGCCTACTGGTCAATTTGCATATACTGACTGTTTATCTAATTAATCATAGCTTCCATTGGCATACTTAACCATTTGCATACTACATGTGCTTTTGTAGGTAATCTGTTCTCCTCTGGTGTGCAAATTCGCCTATGTTAATGAACCTTTGCTATTTAAAATTTTGGAGAACAGCCTCATTCATAGCATGATAATACATACCTTTAACATTTGGATAAGCTGAGGACAGATTAGCTGGAAACAGGTAGGCCGTTGTTTGGTCAGCAGATAATGGATCAGCAGGTGATGGGTCAGCAGATGATGGATCAGCAGGTGATGAGTCACCAGATGGTGAATCTATTAGTTTTTGGTCAACACGTGCTGGATTAGTAGATGCTGTATTAGCAGGCACCATGTCAGCAGGTACTGGATTAGTAGATGCTGTACCAGCAGGCACTATGTCAGCAGGTACTGTGGCAGCAGGAACTGTGCCACCAGGCACGGTGTCAGCAAGCAGGGTGTCAGCAGGGGCCGGGAGAGCCAGGGTGTGGACAAGAGACACCGTAGCAGCCATCACAATAAACAGCCGCAACACAGTAGAAGTCGTCACCAAACTCTGCCTCTTCCTCGCCCTGTTAATCCTGACTTTCTTGTTGTGTGATTTTCTGTGGCCATTGTGGTGTTGACTCATAATTGGCTCTCGCCACAACTGCTGCTGCTGTAGAGTACTTATGGGTGTGCAGCTTCTTCCTCTGATGCTGCTGCTGTTCTCAGGCACTCCTCTGGCTGCTGATCTTGCTACAGCTGCTGTCTTCGTCAGACACTGTTCTTGCTCCTAGCAATGTTCTTCACTGTAATAGAAAAGAGATAAAATATTGCAATTAAAATCCAATTTGTATATAAAATCCAAATGCTTAAGTTATTGCAATGCATTTTATTGCACTTATGCATTTTATTTGTCTTTATTTCTCATGTTTGCTGGAACCATTTGAACCTTCCTATCAAGTTCCACTTTGAACTATAGCCATCTATACCTTCCTGGCGAGTACATCCTTGCACCAAGACCAGCCAAACCTTCCTGGCGAGTACATCCTTGCACCAAGACCATCCAAACCTGCCTGGCGAGTACATCCTTGCAAAATGACCATCCAAACCTGCCTTGTGAGTACATCCTTGCACCAAGACCATCCAAACCTGCCTGGCGAGTATATCCTTGCACCATGACAATCCAAACCTGTCGAGAAAAAAACCGACCTACCTCTATAATCCTAGTTACAATATGCAGATAATTGTGCTCCGGTTCTTGTACTAACCTATTAACCAATACTAACACAAATTAATTTAATTAATAACTCATTCAAAGAAAACGAGATTATAGTGGAATTTTCCTGTAAACGTGGGATATATATATCGCTCGTCAAAATAAAATATATTAATAAGATATTAATAATCACTAAAAACTTCCAGTTCAGTGTTAAAATTAATATAAAACTGTTCCCTGTAACTGGATCAAATAAATTTACCAGTAAAATTAACGCCGCCCTTCCTTCGTCCAAAAATGGGCAAAATTTAGCAGGTTCCAATAACGTGACTGAGCCAGGGAAGGAGAGCGGCGGTCATTGTGGAATGAACACTGCTCTCGTAATTTAGTAAAAACAAGCAGCTATGTTTATGCTCGTTAACTCGAGCCATCTAGATGTTCTTCAGCTGCCGCGACCTCAAATAACAGGTGTACGTCGTTTCCGGCTGAGTAAAAAACTAACATTATTTTGTAGGGGCCCTAGAATATTATTTAAATGGAACCAGTGATGAGGCAGGCGAACACCCAAAACAGGATGAGCCTCTCACAATCTATAAATATTCTTAATACTAATAATTTAAATGCGCCATATCTGTGTAGGAAGTAAAGTTGCAGTTGTTAGATTGTATTCTTCCGGCAGATCTGTGGTCACCTGGGAATTAAGCGTCAGCAACCTGTCGCCACTAGGGAACAGACACCATAGCCACGAGGCTTAGTCCTGGCACACTGGTCACGTGTCCCTCTGATATCCACACTGAAGTCATCAAACAGCTAAGGCCTTCGTGTACAAACTATCCCCAGTACAATAATAAACTAACCTTAATATACACAGAAATCACACTCGTATGATGCATCAAATGAACTAGTCCACAAGGGCCGTGATGAGGGTTCGAACCCACGTCTGAGAGGATCCCAGACGCACCTTTATCGACTAGGCCACGACATGGTAAAATAATTGCAACCAGGAGTTTTACACAAATCCACCATAAACTCGGGCTCAGTCAATAAGCTGTTCTACCTCTTCGCCCTTACTTCATTACACTCAGAAATCACAAAAGCGTGATGAGGCCAAGTGGAACTCTCGGTTGCAATTTTTTTACCATGTCGTGGCCTAGTCGATTAAGGTGCGTCTGGGATCCTCTCAGACGTAGGTTCGAACCCTCATCACAGCTATTGTGGATTTGTTAATTTTAACCTTAGTAGAAATTTGCTATAAATCGATTGATAGGTTACTGTAATTAATTAACCTCCAAATTGTGTTGGGATATGACTTATGGGAGACTTTAAATCCATACAGTCCGCTCAATTAAACATACAGTCCACTAAGCTATGGAAAGAATTAATAATTAAATCAATTATACATCATAAACAAAATTACATTAAATTAAATAATATTTTAATATTTATTTTTTTAATTATCAGGGGAAAGCACCAAGCCATTACGACTTTATAGAAGTGGGAAGGGGTCAGGATAAGGATTTGGGATGAACGGGGGAAAAGTAATGGTGCCCAACCACTTGGACGGCCGGGGATTGAAACGCCGACATGCATGAAGCGAGACCCACAATTCCTGCTTAGCGAGTACATCTTCGCACTATGATCATCCAAACCTGCCTGGCGAGTACATTCTTGCACCATGACCATCCATAACTTACTGGCAACAATGTTGTATCCAGATTATTTTGTAAACATTAGTTAGTCTCTCTCTCAACGTACCGGCGGCGTAAGTAGTGGATGGAGCGTGAGGAGGAGTATGTTAGTGGCAAATGAATTGGAGCCAGTGGGCGGGAGGCACTCTGGGTCAGCGGTCAGGGAGGAAGGCAAGGTGTGGCTACACAGGACTCCAGTAGAGGCAACGAGTCACAGACGTGACCTCAAGTGCAATATGAGACGGTCATTGTTTGGCCTCATTTATTGTGAGAACACTGTTGACATGTTGACCGGAAGTGGTTTGGGAAGGCTCAATAGTTAGAGGAGGTTGAATAAAAGAGACGCCAGCAATGTGACATATTTCATTCTGGAGAGGACCATGATGCTGGTGGTGTGGACCAGGTATGGTGAGGACCATGATGCTGGTGTTGGTGTGGACCTGGTATGGTGAGGACCATGATGCTGGTGGTGGTGTGGACCTGGTATGGCAACCCGTTCTCACACAAGACAGCACATATATGACTTAATGCTTAAAGTCAATATGTTGAATATGAATTAGTAAATATGTGATATATTCCCAGTTACTTTTTTTTCCAAGGCCCAAACTCTTCCTCACGTACCAATTTACGTCTCACAGTACCCGTCCGTCAACCTAGATAGCAGAATAGTCGTGATTGGTTCAATTATAAGCAAAATTGTAGTTTTCAGGTCCCACATGGGTTGTGAAATTTACCTACCATTGTCCATGCTCTTAGAATATTACAGATCAGCTACTTCCTATTGAAGGCGCGTAGTTTTGTTTTGAGAAATATTAGTTGTTCTTAGTAAATTATAATATGCACTAAAAATTATTACATAGAATAACAGTCCTTCATCAATTAATATTATATACCAAAGTTTGTGCTTTACAAATCTTTAAAGGATGTTTTGCAGGAACGCTAACAGAAAACGATGTTACATTGGAATGTCTATGGGGTAAACTGCTGCAAACAGGATGGTATTGTGTCTACTATACCAACTACAGGATGGGTATATTGTCCACTACCACCTGTTAGGTGGGAAAGGGGTCCAATACCACCCACAGGATGGGTATGAGGGTCACATCCATCCACAGGATGAGTATGGGGATCACATCCACCCACAGGAAGGGTATGGGGTCCAATACCACCCACAGGATGAGTATGGCGTCCACTACAACCCACAGGATGGGTATGGGGCTCCAACCACCCATAGAATGGGTATGGGGCTCCAACCACCCATAGAATGGGTATGGGGCTCCAACCACCCATAGAATGGGTATGGGGTCCAATAACACCCACTGGATGTGTATGGCGTCCATTGCCGCGCGTCGACCTCGAAAACCGCAGCATTCATCTCAGAACCATGCCTATTTCACGCAGATTCCTTAATAAACGTAAGAGTTTTATATGTCACAAGAAAGATAGAAATATAAGCTTCATTCTAAATACCTTACCATGGGCATATTTAAATTTAAAGCGAAGATACGTGTACTTTTATAATAGCCGAGCTCCGACCCCGGACAGATCGATCGACCGAGCAACTCTCTCTCAGAACAATGTTTATTTCACGTGAATTCGTTAATAAACATATATGTTTTATATGTCTCAAGAAAGGCAGACATATAAGCTTCACTTTAAACACTTTACCATAGACATATTTAAAGTTCTAATGAAGATACATGTATTTTAAAAATTACGGAGCTCCCACCCCGTACAGACTGAACGACAGAGCAACTCTCTCTCAGATCAATGTTTATTTCACGTAAATTCGTTAATAAACACAAATGTTTTATATGTCTTAAGCAAGATAGAAATAAGAGCTTCATTTTAAATACATTACAATAGACATATTTATAGCTCAAGTGAAGATACATATGTTTTTATAGTAGCGCTCAGTAGCTTGTCGGGCATGGAGTGCAGACGCCTACGCACTTGCCGATATATTGTATAATTAACAAAGATACGCTAATAAAGCCTAAAATCTTATATGCCTCCAGAAAGACCGAGATATGAACATTATTATGATTGCACCAAATGAAATATATCATGTTCGAGAACAAAGATATATCAATTTTAAATTAAGTTTCGACTCTTGCTCGGGCGAGAGAGATGGGGCGACTCTCGCCCCATCTATTGGAGATTCTGTCCACTAAAGACCCAAAGCTACTCAAACCCTCCTAGCATTATTTAAGTAATGAAGTAATATGGTATATTTACTCACTATAATGTGGGTGCTGAATGCAGAACATGAGAAAACATATATTTACTCCAAACTAATGTAATTTCATTATGAAATAAGTAAATAAGTAGCATCAAAGGAAGTCGACGGTCCAAGCGTCAATGTTGTGGAGCGACTTATCCAAGATATATCGTTGTTTGGAAAGTGTTTGTTGGCATATCCAGTTGTCGCACTTCTCTGCACAAATTATCACAAATTTAAATTATAATGTTAACAAGTAGAATACGTATTTTTAATAAAATCTAACATAACTAGCCAGAAAACATTTAACATTTATTAAAAAATATATGTTTGGAAGTTAAATCGACTTCATAGGACAATAGTTTTGTTATATATACTCGTTATTCGTTGACATGCGTTCGCTACTTAAACTACCATGTACTGTACTTATGTAAAATCTCCCATGTCTCTTCGCTCATCTCACCGAACCCTACAGGCTCTGTGATATATTGTTTAATTAATTGAGATTCACAAATAAAGCTTATAATTGTATATGTTATCAAAAAGGCAGAGCTTAGTTTAGTTCATTTATTATGCACCCCATACCCATCCTATGGGCGATAGTGGAGTGTTACAGAGGCACATAATGGGCTCAGGGACTGAGCCCCACAATTCATATAGCCAAG